CTGTAATCTGTTCAGTTATGGGTCGGACGTCTTTAAGTCTCACACCTTGACTGTCCATGTTTTTTGCATCCATAAACTGTCCTGTATCACATCTTGACAGTTGTGCACCTTGGGTTCACAGGTCATTTAGAGCGGGAAAACAAAAACTGAATAATGGTACTCTGAATAGAAACTCTTTGCAACTTGATAACATATGAAATATTTATTCTATTAAAAAAAGCAAAAATCAGGAGTATTGTGTTCTTACAGCTTATGTTGAAACAGACACAAACCAAGCACAATATCAAACTTGGACTGAAATATTTCACACCGATTACAGATTGTTTAGAACACAATTTGTGATCTGAGACATCTTTATTCTGTTTTGAAGTGAAGCCTTTATTCTTAATTTTCAAATGAGAAACTTCAATATTTTCTTGTCTTATTCTTGTTATTCAAATATTATGCTTAGTCTTGTCATCGTCAGCTGAATGTTTTGCACACCCTGTTACAGTTAAGCATTTTGATATGTTGACTTCAACAACAAAAATAGAAAAGTGAAAAGTTCATTAGGCAGCTTTCAGCTAGCTGTCCAGCAGTTATTATTGGTTTATTATTTAATATTCCTTACAGCTCGAAAAACTCTGATTACAAAAACGTGTGACGGGCATTTGATCTGTAACGTTTTACTGACATAAAAAAAAGCTCAAGATATTTTAATATATCGTCTATAGTTTTAGTAAACCTATTACTATATTAGTGGACTGAAAGCAGAGTTGTGAATACATTTTTGTTGTCACAACTAATTTATATTTGTAATATTTTTTTTATGTGTTGTTCCAGTTTTATTTTTCCTTTGGTTGCCTGAACTAACACACCACAAAACCGACATGAATCTTTTGTGGTATTTGGGAAGAACTAAGTGCTTAACAACATATAATATTTTCCTTCAAAGTCTATAACTTTTCCTCCCTTATGGGAGGCCTAATGTGCTTCCCACTGTCATGTTTTTATCTCTTGCTGATGTCTCCGTCCAGCTTTTTCATCTGTATAATTATATGTAGTTGTATGTGGAAGAATCTAATAAAATTAGCCAGTAAAGCAGTAGCTCCTTAAATGCATGCAGACGAGGCAACTGGCCTGTTTGTTTTTGTGTAAGCAAATGCATATGGCCTTACACATGTATGCACACACACACACATGAGCCCGAGTTGTGTGAGTGTTCAGCCGGGTTGATGAGGATATAAAGAACATCAAAGCAGGCACCATGCCAGGTAGCATGGAGGAGGCTTAGAGCACGCATCCTTCGTTCTTAAGTGTAGGAGTGAGGCCTTCTTTGGAAGGGTAGGAAGATGAAATATGCTGGTTTGACAAATTCTCTGTAGCATTTTTTTTTTTTAATAGAAGATCAGAGAACCTGGCTGGTGTGAAACAAGACACACCATGTTACGCATTTCTATAACAGTGAGATTTCTTCATCCTTCCATCTATTGTGTGGCATGCTTCCTCTGCCAACACCAGATCCCCCACTGAGCCTCCTCCTCCTCTTTTTTTTTTTTTTTTTTGCCCACCACCTCCTTACTCCTTATTGAAATTCTGCCTGGCACAGAGACGCTGCCCATTCTTGGCACAAAGCTCAGAGAGGGAGAGAGGGAGAGAGAGAGAGAGTGGGAGGCAGAGGCAGAGGCAGAGTGGGAAGGAAAACACACACACACAGCCACAAGAACCTGCACCAATCGCCGGGTTCCCCCTTCTTCCTCCTCCTCCTGCTCTTCCTCCTCCTCCTCAGTGGCGTCTCTGTGCCAAGCATTCATCCCGTGTCGTGGACGAAGGGACCAGGCAAGTCAGTAGGTATTTCCTTGCCTCTGCTTCCTGTAATAATCCTGCTCCAAATTTGAGGAGTTTTCTTGGCAGCTGAATCTTCTGCGACCACGTTTTTTTTTTTTTTTTGAGAGAGAGAGAGAAGTGGTTACTAATTAATTTGTATATTAGTTGAGGAGTAAATCTTAACAAATCCTGCCTCCAGGGGGTGAGAGGAAGCTAATGCCCTTTGTTACCATGTTCTTTACTGAATTTTGCAAGCATTTCTATTGAAAAAAAAAAAAAAAAAAAATATATATATATATATATATATATATATATATATATATATATATATATATATATATATATATATATATAAAAGCTGTGTTTGGACAGAAGGTATAATTCTAATTGAATCTTCGAGTTTGTATACTGTGCAGATAAACAGAGGTAATTCCGTTTAGTGCCAATTGCAACAGCACACATTTCAAATTACGAAATAAAAGGAAAGAAAGGGATGGAAATGACTTGCAACAAGAGGTTTTCAGAAATCTTTTACCAGGATTTTATTTCTGTTCTATCAGATTGTCATAACTTACAAGCAAAGCTTTAATCTTTTTTACTCAAAACACAACTTGTTGACTTTTGAAGATATGGAAAGCTATGTGCTGAGACGATCCTAAGAGAAACAAATAAGAGTTGTAAGTCATGCAGCTTTATAAAAAAAAAAAAAAGACTTGTATCTGTCACCCAAAGACAAATGATTTCTCTGAAACAGGAAATTGTCTGCAGAAAAACATTTCATTCTGTCACAGGAGAGTGCTGTTATCAGAGTGCAAGGGGGCAAAGATTCATGGTCCTTGGCTCACTCCTATTGCGAGCTTGAAGACTTGTAGCTTTTATTCCGCAGCAACAGATGCAAAGGCAGTCAGGCGGACAGATGAGATTTATATATTTCGTCCCTCTCTCTTGTCTGAGACCGTGCCCAGCTGCCCAACCGGGCAGCTTTATTCTGTAGCTGCTGGCAGAAAATGATTTGCCTCCACTGAGCCGGGCATGCCCTCCTTTTCTTATGTAGTTTAGGAAATGTTTATAGTCTCAGAAGAGCTCGCGTGACAGACAGGGCTCGGGCCTTTACTTACCTTCCAGCCTTTCCGTTTCTAGAATGGGATGGCAATTATTGGCAGTTTAACCCACAAGCATTTAATGTTTAGAATCAATTTATTTGACTAATTTTCCCCAAATAATCTGTTTGAGCTCCTCTCCAAGCCGTCTAGTCGGGGGGATCGTTCTTGGCAAGCAAACGCAGTTCATAGATCTTCTACTAGCTCTGTGGCAGAGGTGGGCATCATGCCAGTTCCCTCACCACCACCCCCTCCTACACCCTGCCCCATTCTCCCCCCAGTCTGGTTTTCTATGATCAGGCTAGTGGGGTTTACAGCATACTAACTGCAAACTAGTCTGGCCCAAGTCTCAGGGGTTGCGGCTGTATGCTAATTTATGCAAGCAGTGCACCTTCTAACCTATTCTGTGTCTTCTGAGGCCCCCGGCCTGGCATTTAGTCTGGTGCTTATTAACTCTTCAGTTGCTGCCGTTTGAATCCGTTGGCATGCTTCGACCCCGATCTTAGCCGAACGCGCCACATGTGAGCACTCCCTTCTCTGTGAGCTGTCCAGCTGTCTAACAAGAAATAGTTTCCTCTGCCTCAATATTGGTGATTGAGCGTGTCGTCTGGGTCGGTTGGCTTCGGCTCACTGCTTGGCACAAGATTCGTCCTCTGCAACTTGTGATAGAACAGCTGTTTTCTCTTCATTGTGACGACTGCAGGCTCAGGAATGAAAAGGAAGAAAAAAAAAAAAAACAACACAATAAAAAAAAAAAAAACGACACGCAAGGTGGACCTCATAATGTTTTTAAGCAGACCTAAAATGGCCGAAGCCTCGCTGGACGCCATTTTGTGTTTCCTCGTAGTGTTTTGGGGGGCAGAATCCCAGCTTTGTATTCAATCAGAGACAGCTGGTGGAAGCCGTTTTTGCAGGCATCTGTGTGTGCGTACCTCCGCCTGAGAAGCAGCAGCCACTCCAACGCAGGGATAGCCCTGCTGGAATGAGCTCGGCTTTTGGCAAAACCGGAGAAGGATTCCTGGCAGAGAATCGAACAACTCTCTCTCTCTCTTTTTCTTTCCTCGTTCGATCACATGGCAGAGTCTCAGGAAGCTTGTGAGTTGTTTGCTGAGATTTTGCACACCAGCGGTTACTTTTGCATGTATATATCATTGAATTCGTTATTTATTCTGTCGGGAGCAAAGTTACAAATTTCTCTTTAACAACAAAATAGCTACTCCGATCAGTAAGAACATGTGGTGCTCTTTTGGCCGTTTTTGGTTTGTAGTGATTATCGTTTCCTCAGTTTGCGGCTGTCGAAAACTTACCATGAAGCATCAACAGCTCCCAGAACCTGATATTTTCTAAGAAACTGTTTTAGAAACCGCCAAGAAATTAGTTTCACTCTGTTCCACAAAGAATTGTCTGTCAACATTTCATTGAAGATGAACATTTGCTAAAGTCACATCCAGTATGATTTTCAAAAATAATTTAATTAACATTGTCTGTCTCTATTTGTTTCTATATCCTTGCAGGAGAGTGACATTTGTGGATCTTTGGTGTGGATGCAGCATAGATTGTGTCCTTGGGGCTGAGGTAGTAGATTGAATAGTTGTGGGGTTCTTTAACCTCTTTTTCAGATAACTATACAATCTACTGTCTTTCCCAAGGAGACAGCTGAGCCAACCAGTCGTCAACTATCGTCTAAAGATGGACAATACTGTTGCCTTGTCAAAATGCATGCAGTACTTGATTTAATATATATACAGAGGGTTATTTTTATTACTTCCTCAATGAGTTTCAGTGTGGTGTGATGACTTGGGTTCTGTCAGGGTGAGGTAGTAGGTTGTATAGTTTGGTAGGTGGGACTGCACCCTGCTGAGGTGATAACTATACAGTCTATTGCCTTCCCTGAGGAGTCCACTGAACAGTTCAACACAATCTCTTTGCTGGAGTGTTTTATTTATTTATTAGTTTTTTACAGACAACATAAAGAATAGGTAATTATCTTACAGGGGGATTTATATGTATTGTATAGCTGTTTTTGTGGTCAAAAGTTGTTCCATGCTTTAACTATGCAAATCTCAATAAAACTAGTCTTCTCAAATTAGTTGTCCAGAAGTCTCAGAAACTAAGATATTAGTCATTTTACACTCTCACATCAGCACACGGCGCACACACCACAACTCTGATTCTTTCTGGAAAAACAAGCATTGAGTTTGTTGACGTATGGTGCCCTCTAGTGGAGCTTCAATAAATTGCTGTCACTAACAAAGCCAACATTAAAACAAAACTTGCATTTCAAGGGGAACTTTGTAAACAGTCTTTATGCTACATGTTCAAATGCAATAACAGCAGAAATCATCAGTGCTGTACAATGACAGAATAATGCATTTGACTGATGAAATACCACAAACAAGTCTTACACAAGCCCTTTTTTTCTGGCTCGGCAAATGCACATTTACATTTCTTAAACTAGTCGCTTGTTATAGCTTGCTGAATTGATTCATTTCTGGTAAAACAATTGAGCTTCAAAGCAAGATGCCTCCATATTTGACTGTAGGCCTTCTGGATCCTGGGGATGCGACAAGCGTAGACCACTGGGTTGACTGCTGAGTTGGCGTGAGACAGAAGGATACCTGCAGGATGATCGGCTTGTTACTGAGTCAGTAAATTTCTGTAATACATAAGGCTGGAAGAATATTTTGGAACTACAGTTTGGTCCATAAACTGGGCCATTCACATAAACTAATTGTTGATGGTCTACATTTGTTTCTTTAATATCTTAGCTGATATTATTGATGACAAATATAAATGATTTAATAGTTATGCTTCCATAACTGCTAAATTATAAAGGAAACAACTTCAGGGATTTCTAAAAACAAAGTTGGGATGCAGAGCCTTAAATCACTTTGGATTTTCTTAAATCTTCACAGGGTCAAAGGTTTTGATACAGGCACAAATATGTTTCCACAATTTCTCTAGTATTTGTTTTAACATCACATGACTGCATACTTGTTGTGGCCAGCAACAAACACCTGATATATTTCTGGCTGGATATTTGACTCCTATTCTTGGTAGGATAGTAAGTCATTTAAACAGTTGACATCTGAAGAGGTAAGCAATCACCTTGGAGACATTTTAACATCTGTGCAAGGAGTAGGAAAACAACTCTGACCTACCTGTGTAAAGTGTTCCCTGGGTCACTGCTTGAGGTCCCCAGAGGAGCAGAAGACAGTTCATGAGGTGCAGAGGGATCCAGCAGAAGGCAAATAATGTGAGAACCAGAGCAAGTGAGCAGGCCAGCTTCTTCTCCCTGAGCAGCAAGGCCTGTGCTTGAGGGCAGCTGTTCTTCAGACGTTTGTGCAGGCTCCAGAAGATGATGACGTACAGAAAAGTCATGACCAATAAAGGGGCCATGATACATCCGAGAAAGTTGAAATAAACCATAAAGGGCAGGGAGATAACTGAGAGGAAAGTGCATTGAGAAGAGCTAGGCAAGGTAGACGATGTGTTTGTGGAATAATAGCCAGAAGCAGAGAGATTGTGCCATCCAAGCAGAGGGGTGAATCCCAGTAGCAAAGAGAGTATCCAACAGATGGACATGGCCAACAGTGTGCGCCTCTGAGTGACGATGGCTTTATATCTGAAAAGAGAGACAATTAATAATTAAGAGAAAATTATTCCAGCATTTCTTATAAAGTTGTGAGACTGAGTTCGCCCCTACCTGAAAGGCATGTGCAGCCGCAGGTATCGGTCGATGGCAATAGCCAGCAGTGAGAGGACGGAGGCCTCTGTCAGCACGAGTATGACGCAGCTGAGGAACAAGCACTGCTGAGCAGTCAAATTCACCCAGCCATCCAGCAGTACAGCGAGAGGCACGGCAGCTGCACCCACCAAAAAGTCAGCAACGGCCAAGGACACCAGGAAGCAGAAAGTCGGCTCCCGGAGGCAATCCTGGATCCCAACAGCCACCGCAAACACCACCAACACATTCCCAAGGCAACACGCCACAGCAATGAGCACTTCCAGCACCGTGTAAGTTACCCAAGCCCAATCAGCCATCACTGCAAATTGACAGCAAATAATACCCTTGAAGATATTTCATGCACAAGTGTAATGAATTCAGTAGCAAGAAAAGTCCAGCATCATCCTTCCTTGTTGCTCAGATTGTGGTTGCAAATGGCTCAAAAGACAACAAGCAGGGGCCTTTTATATGGGATGGTGCGTGCACACTTGAAAGCTGACTGACGCTCCATGGAGACACCATCTGTATTTCATCAGAAAGTCAAAAATCCTCCTCAAAACTTTGATACATATATCCCTGGAGCGTGAGAGGAGAGGACTTCTCGATCGGTGGTTCCCAAACTTTTCAGCCACTGAACCACAAAACGACACGTAGAGATTTGTGTTCCCAACTGTCACTACTTAAAGTAAACGCACACTGTGAGAAAACCAATTAAACAGGCGCACACTGGCAAGCAGTCACGTTTGTACATTTTCATTAGTCGTTACAACTGTTTTTAAGTGTCGTAACAGGAATGGCATGTCCAATTTGCTCCATTTTTCATTTGTTTTAATTTGAGTGGAAACCATTTCAAGAAACCCCACCTGGTGGTTTGAGACCCACAGGGGGTCCCAGCCTTGTGTTCAGCTTATGATAGGAAATCGTAATTACGCTAAGATGTGAACAACAGTCTCCATAAATTAGAAAACAGGTTAATTTTTACTTAGCAAGCGAAAAGTTTGGAAAATCGAATGTAACAAAAGATTGAATTAAAATCACATATTTTACACATTTTAGCAGTAGCTGGCAATTTTATATAGAAAATTACATTTTCTACATAAATGTTTTGTATTAAATGTGAATTCCCTTGGGTTTAATTTTGATGTGACTCATATTCAATCTATTTTTAACACCATGTAGTCAGAAGGATGTTAGGGGGAAAAAAAATCCAAAGATCACATAAACGACTTGGAAACTATTAGAGGCCATTTAAATACTTTCTGTCTTACCATCTCAACTTACCATTCCCTTCTCACCCACCGCGGGTGGTTCTTATCCTCTGAGCTCGGGTCCTCTACCAGAGGCCTGGGAGCTTGAGGGTCCTGCAGTATCTTGGCTGTGCCAAGGACTGCACATTTCTGGACTGAGATGTCTGATGTTGTTCCTGGGATCTGTTGTAGCCACTGCTCCAGTTTGGGGGTTACTGCCCCGAGGGCCCCGATGACCACAGGCACCACTGTGGTCTTCACCTTCCAGGCCCTCTCCAGTTCCTCCCTGAGGCCCTGGTATTTCTCCAGTTTCTTGTGCTCCTTTTTCCTGATGTTGCAATCACTTGGTATTGCTACATCTACCACAACGGCTTTCCTCTGTTGTTTGTCCACTACGACAATGTCTGGTTGGTTCGCCATTACCATTTCTATATATATATGTGTGTGTGTGTGTGTGTGTGTGTGTGTGTGTGGTGTGTGTGGGTGTGTGTGTGTGTGTGTGTGTGTGTGTGTGTGTGTGTGTGTGTGTGTGTGTGTGTGTGTGTGTGTGTGTGTGTGTGTGTGTGATAAGAACAACTGGAGCATAACAAAGAGTGACTATCTAAATATTGTGTCATGATCACTGTGGGATCTGAAAACTACTTTGGTTTGCAAATTTATGAATATAACACCAGAAGAAAAGTCACAACTCTTATTCTTCAAAGAAACATGGGAAATGGTTGAAAATATCTTTGAAGAAACTGAGTTAGTTTGCTACTGGAAACTTTATGACAGTAATTTATAGCCTGTACACCTTGCTCAGTTTTGTGTGTTTGTACGCGTGCGCATGCGTGTGTGTTTTCTGTCGTGAGGGTTTTTTTCTGGATGTTACTGATTAGCAGTTCTGTTTGCTGTGGCGGTTTTTAATGCATGCTTGCTTTGCATAGAATTTTGGCTACGGTCACATGCCTGTGTGTACGGTACATCTGTGTATGTGGGCTTGCTCCAAGCACATTAATGTTTATCTCAACGAGCTGCTCTTCACAAGGGATCTTTGTTTGTGTACACAGACAGAGAAAAAAAAAGAAAGAAAAACCTGCCTTTTTTCTGCTCTTTTTCGATTTATTTTACCTTGAGCAAGATATATTGACACAAACAGAGCACGTTTACACACATATTTTCATGAATACCTGCAACACAGAATCACGAAATAGAGGAAAAAAACTTTTATGAAGAGAGATTTAAATTCTACTTATAAAGTAGAGAATATGTCATAATCTTTTAGATTTACTTGGTGTTTGCCAGCTAACCTCTCATTCACAGCCTGAAATTTGCATGTATCACTTTCATAATTTCTTGTTCAGTCTTCTGACACACCATGTATCAATGCAAAGCTCAGACTGTCAGTAGTTAATGCTCTGGCCTTTCAAATACTTAGTATTTATTTGTCATTAAAATACCATATAGTTAGAATCTGCACAAAATATGTCGCACGAGTCCAATGATTTTCTGATTTGAGCTCTTTGACACACCCGCTACTCTAATTTGCTGTCTCCTTGTAGGCCTTTCAGTGTCTTCTCATCGAAGCGGTATGTGAGCTTCCTCTTCACCTTGTGGATCTCTCCAGTCCGTGAGTAGTTCCTTAGTGCCCGTGCCATCTTCTGGTAGGTCATGGTCTTGCGGTTTCCCTTCCGGCGACCCCACAGCTGCGCCAGGCTCTCCTTGTTCTGGGAGGAGAACTGAAAGGTCCCAGAGGAGGACTGGACCCACCAGATGCAGCTCCTCATTGATGGAGTCTGCAGCATCTCAAACAGGAACTGGAACAGGCGCTCCTTCCTCTTTCCTGTTGAAGAGGAAGCAGAGAAAAAAAAAAAAGGGGTTTGACCTGACCGCATCTTGTGTGCGTAGTTGGACAAAGACACTTCGTCACGAGCTTTTGTTCTGAGAGGTTGTCACTGTAAGGTGTTCTACCTGATAGTGGTGCCAGAGGCAAACTTCTGTCCTTCCTCTCCCCTCTGTCGGAGGGTGGTGATGGTGAATCTTGGTAATCCTGGTACTGGGAACTGCTTGACTGTGAGTCTGAATCAATATATATACTCGTAGGCTCGTAGTATGTTACGTGTTCCTGGATGAACGGAAATAAAAATTAGACACACAAATCCAACTGAAGAAGTGTGAATTGAATATGCTCGACTTTTCTCATGGAGTTTTGTGAGAGGTCAAACGCTGTTTACTCACATACTGGTCTTGTGAACTCTGCCAGGCTGGATGTGGAGTTGGGTCCTTGTATTCCTTGTTTGGAGTGTGGCAGCCGAAGCGCCACTCGTACGGATGCTGACCCGACCAGCTGTTCTCTGAGGAGAGAAAGGCACAAGATTCAGTCAGGCGGAACATTTAAAAACGAACAAGTATTCCCTCCTCTGCTGCCTGCATTCGGCCGACCTATGATCCTGGCGTCCCGGTGGGCGTGAACGTGCATTTGGTGACCCATGTTTGCAGCCATGGATGTTGGAGGTGTGTGAGCGGGTTGGACCTCGAGCGAATGCTCCTGCAGGTACTCCTCGATGACCTCGAGGTCGACCTCAGCGCAGGACGAGGGTGCCAGCCCACTCCAGGAACTCCGACATCCGCCCAGCTTCACCTCAGGCACGTAAGCCCTCTGAAAGTCACACAGCAGGGCAGAAGATTTCAGAAAATATTACATGACATCTTTTGTCAGTTATAGCCTCAGGTATTAACACCTTACATTATTTTAGTTGTGTCAAAGCTTTTGTCACTATCTCATAAATTTTAAATGACCGCATCTTCTCCACAAATGATTTCCATGTTGTCAACTTTCCAAAAATAATGGCCTAGGTACTGTATTTTATTTTACTTTTCTTTTTGTGAAAAGAGATTTTGTCAAAAGTGTCTTAGGCAAAAATAAATGAATAAATAAACAAACAAATAAATACAGAAATAAATAAATCACATTTGGCAAAAAAATTACTTATGACATTATGTCAGGATGTTGTCAATATCCTATTTTCTAAACAAAAGACAAACTATTCTCATTTTGATCAATTTTACTCAACATTATGAAAATTCAAACTAGATCCATGTTGCCTGTTGTGTCCAGCTAAGGTTTGGATCCTGGGACAGATCCAGTTACTAGCTCTGGGATTATGTGTATTTTAGTTTGACTGGCAAATTTATGCAAGTGTTTATATTTTCATCTGCATAGATAACATTCAGGCACCACTGTTGTGTGGCTCCTAGAAATAACCCCCAGTGAGAAAGATCACATTTCACATAAGACTCAAACAGTATTTAAAACACAACAGCAGCAAAAAGTGGCATTGAACTCACCGTCTCTAACTCTGTCAGCATGCTTTAAGGACAAACTAGAAAAAAAAAAACAAAGAAACAAAACTCTTATTAGACAACAGAATCAAAGCAAAAAATAAAAATAAAATAAACATAAAAAGGGAAGTGAAAGATGCATTCGCAGACACTTCTCTAAGATGTAAGAGGCAATCATATGACAGCAAAACACAATACATAAATAAATAAAATGACAAAAGTGGAGCTGCACCTTTGTCAGGTCCTGTGTCTGGTGCTGTGAAGCTGTATCCTCAGGCAGTGAAGAGTGGGGACATGAGAGTTGGAGTGCTCACCTGTACAATGCTCCACCACCTGGGCATCATCTCTCTTATATGGCATGTGCACACACCCTGCTTCCCCTTCCCATTGGCCAGCAAGTGCTGAGGTGGGAGCGGTTTGCAGAACCAGGGTATTTCTGGATATCTGCTGATCTAATAGGAGAATTTTCCCCCCACACCAATGTTCAATAAAAAAAGTTTACTATGCGCCTGTGTCTGATGCAAAGGTGTGACTTGTTGGATTGTCAGTTTTAGGCAAAGTGGACTGTTTTATGTTGCTTTTCTACTTTTTATTTTTTTTTAACTTCAGCATACTGTAAATTTTGAGTTATTTCTAAAAACTTGTGAATGTCGGGGATATTTGAAATACTTTATTCTCCTAAATGTTCCTTAAATTACTGAAGTTAGTTTTACATAGCAATAAAATTGGTAAATAAATAAATAAAAAAATTGGACATAGGAGGAAGAAACAGCACAGCTAACAAAATGTTAACAAGACTCTTTTTTTTAAATTAAACACTGGGCTCGCAATTTTATCAAATAAAATTGCATTATGTGGCTAAATTCTACATTTATATAAATAATCTAAGTTTACGCTTGTGGTTTTATGTTTCTCCTTCAATCCAGCATCTTTTAAGGTTTGCATGATAGAAATCAGCACTCTGAACACTCTGAGCTGTGTCATAGAAAACAGTTAGACCAAAATCAACCATTAGTTCCAAACCTTTACGTTTTAAAAGAGGAACATATCGAAGTTGTTCATTTTCAAAACAGACCTGTGGCAAAACATTCTTTTTGTTCAAGTTGTGAAGTTTTGACACATTTCAAGTGGCTTCCAGTCTCTAAGAAAAGCAACATCTCAAAGTAAAGAATCATCTTGTAATGAAGCCATACTTTCACATAAAATAGATTGATATCTGATGACATTCTAATTTACTGAGGTGTATTGGTATTTTTAAAAAAGAATAAATATTATCTTTACCCCCAGATCTTTTTTTTTTTTTTGTTGGTATTTTTATTTCCTGAAAATCACAGCCCCCATGGGATATCTGCGGTTTCTTAATACTGCATTTGCCACATTGGAGGAAAATAGAGTAACAGACATAGTGCAATTAGGTAAAGATGTCTGCTGCAACCTAGAATTTGTATTAACATGTCATATTAAAAGATTAAAAGCAAAAAATAATATGTAATAATTTCTTAAACTGTGTTATGGTAAAAATGTAATGTACTGTAATGGCAAAATATTTTCACTTTGCTTCTGAATACATTTTAGCTTCTGGTCGTTTAGTATCTGGGGCAACAAGGAAATGTTTGTAAGGGAATCTGCTTTGTTTTATGATGATATATTGGAGTGTTTTATATGAGAAAAGGAAAGAACACCAGAAAGAGGCTTAGCTGTTTAATCAAATGTCAAAAATAACATTAAGGTGTCAGCATTTTCATTAATAACCTTAAAATAAGTATGCACAGATTAAATATGCAGCAGTTTGGATATTATTCAATATAGCAGAGCTGTTATTTCAAAAATGGTATAAAAGATTATACATGGGCAGTTAGCAGAATCTAAGGAGAAAACATTTTCTTTAGAAATTCAATTGCTATGTTGACAGCTGCATAGCTGCTTTAGAGGCCATCTGGTGACTCCTTATTGACCCCTGTGCTCAGTTCTGCAAACACCTACATCTGTCAAACAGAACAAGATCAGTAAACTACTGGAGGGAAGCAAACAGACACCAGCATTGCATCACAGGTTAATGCACGGCATGATGTCATGCACAAGTTACACTGCATGTATGCCTCATTATGTCTTTCTATTGGGTTTGTTCCTTTTTTAATGTTATGCCGGAGTGTGCTTGTGCTGGTGTTTGTGCGTGAGTACGCGTGTGTGTGTGTGCGTGTCTGTGTGTGTGTGTGTGTGTGTGTGTGTGTATGTGTGTGTGTGTGTGTGTGTGTGTGCGTCTGTGTGTGTGGGTGTGTGTGTGGGTGTGTGTGTGTGTGTGTGTGTGTGTGTGTGTGTGTGTGTGTGGGGGTGTGTGTGTGTGTGTGTGTGGGGGTGTGTGTGTGTGTGTGTGTTAACAGGCGTAGATTCCACTACAAAAAAACGGCAGTGTAACATTTTTTTTTTTTTTTTCCCTTGTGGGTTGTCGGTGTTGAGGGATTCCCCCAGGGATGTTATTTTTTTCCTTTACTGTAACAACAAATTTGCTAGCACAACAAACTGAAGTAACCTGTTGTGTCAGGAGAAGGGTACCAGAGGACAAACGATTCCTGGACCTTTATGCATTTTGAAATAGATTACATGGTATTTCTTTTTCAAAATCGTTACAGATTAGCGATTCATTTCGCTAATAATCTCACCTAAACAGATCCCTCCATATTGTCTTTCAGCAGTAAAACTGTCAACATGAAACATCATTGTAGTTCTAAGCTTGGATTTGTTTAAGGATGGTCATTCTGGTTTTGGGCCCTCTTGAAACATATGACCCAGCTAATCCGGATTTATGACAAATGAACACATCAACGCACTGACTGTGATGGGTAACTTTTTTCTTTTCTTTTCTTTTTTTCACCTTGATTTCAAAGAGTGCATTATTCTCAGTGAAAACAGATCATTCACTTTAGGCAGACAAGACTTAATTTCCTGGTTTTCTCTGTGTGGGCTGAATACCTGGCATTCATGCGGGATTCCGAAAACAAAACAATCTAAAAAAAAAAAAAATAAAAAATATTTATTCAAAAATGACCTGCAAGCCTCAGCTGGAAACAAGAGGGATCAGAAAATCATACAAAACAGAATCCATCCAGGAAGCACTTTCTGGGACACAGGGAGTAAATGTTGACAGATTAACGCAGAACAAATAAAATAAATCAGGGAAACATATCATTAAAATGCTACTGACTGATGAATTTGTGATCATAATGAAACTAAGTTCAGAACAATTGACCTCCTGGGTAAGATAATATATGACATGTAATATATTAATTTATGTTTTACACCTGAACCATTATCTCTCCATAATAAAAACTGGCACTGTGTTTGCAGGAATGCAGGTCTAATAACTTCAAATCAAATATACCAAAATATTACTGCAGAGCAAAGATGATAGAGGTGAAGTAAGACAAAGTGAACAAAGCTGTGTAAAGGAGTCTTAAAATTGCCACAGTGGTAAAATTACAAATCCCAGCTCAAATCGTTCCACAAATCCTCAATAATATTTGGTTAAATGTTTTCCAGCAAGTTGCACCTCAACCACATGACTCTTGTGGGTATCAAAATTCAACATTCTCACCTCAACATTTTGTGCCAGAGTTAGTAGAAATCGTTCTGATTTTTATTTTTTTTTTACAGAAATCCGGGTTTCAAGCATAGTCCATAAATTTTCGACTGGGTTTTCTGGATTGGTTTCTTCCAAAGAGAGGAATGCCACACGCTCTCTATTTGCTGGAAGGCTAGTGTCAAACATATTCATTGATTTTTGCCATTCATTTTAAGTACTATCAATAAAATCCAGGTCTAAGAATTTAAGCCAAATAATTTGAATAAATGTGACATTTCCAATGAAGATATTATTTAAATTTTAAGCTGTGGTCAAGTCTTGCTTGGGAAAAATTCTCAAAATAGATTATATGGACTTGTGTTCAACATGTTCAGCTTGAATCCTGTGCAGAATACATTCTTGTTTTCAAAAATCATCGAAGTTTTATATTGTTGGGAAAATCAATGCTTCAAATAAATCAGCTACAGCACAAAATAAATTAGATTTTTTGCTCAAGGTGAGTGCATATGTACTTCTGACCAAAAGTGTAGCTATGTGCTCACTGACATAGCTACACTATGTGACCAATATTTACACCAAACATAAACATTGGTCCTTTTTTCACCCAAAGAACACAGATGATGCCATGATGGTTTATGTTGGATCAGTAACTATGTAAATTCAGCTGCTGGTTATTGATTATGCTGATTTTGTAATATATCTTTTACTCATTTATCACTTTGCGTAGCCTGACCATTGCCTTCCAGTGCGTCCATCACAATCTGGGCTTTCTCCCATTTACTCAGAATATCTCTGGTTGATTTATTTATTTATTTATTTATTTATTTTTACCTGGCCAAGTGATTGGGTACAATTTAAAACCTCTACAAAAGCCACGGCTGCAGGAAACAGCCATTTCTCAACATAAGGGTCTGGGCATAGAGAGCCCAGACCCTCTATGCGAAGTAAATTAAAATTGCAAGGGAATGGTTACTGCTAGGTTATTAGGTTCGTGCAACTGATTGCTGATGAGTTTCAAAGTCAAAATGATCCAGGAACATGTGAAGATGCTCACACCTAATGTACAGAAGAGCATGCGCAACTGTTTCAACCCTCAGGGATAGGGTGTGCACACACGCAAACAATGCGAAGGTACATTCAGCTGAATATGTTAGATTAAGATTATACAGTGTGTTTCAGTTTTGTCCCTGTGGCAGGAGATTATTTAGCACTAATAAAGAAAAAGTAAACAGGTATCTTTTTATTAGGTTCATTATTAACCCATGCTGCAATCAGGGTCATAATTTGTTTTTATGAGCTGTCGCTGTCAAGACTCAAAGTGACACAGACATAACAGCAGCTTTGTTATTTTTTTATATAATCTCTATAATAAACCCATAAGCGTTAAAGATTAAGAAAAAAAGCATCTCTGAGGGTGCAAAGTTAGATCTCGTGTCCAAACATAAATCTACAACTATTTAGGTTTTGAAAGCCACATTAGAGTGAAGAACAGATAAGATTTATGAGTTTTTTAATGTTTCTCCTCAGTTTGTGAGTACATCATATTCATTTATCCTTGTAAAAAGAAGATAAAGATGACAGTAAACGTCAACCTTCAGTCACATTCATCAACAGTTAAAGTGATGAGCAATATCATTGTGGCAGCACTCGTAATTTTGTTCTACGAATGCTCCAACAATCTTCCTGACCTGACGATTTTCCATTTTTTTTCATGTCTTTTATGAATGAACTGAGCTCACAAAACTTTTTTTTCGGGGAAATATTTCGTTCTACAAGTGTTTGAGATGGTAAATCATGTTTATGGGTTACAGAGATAGTGTTCCTCTAACTGGCCACCAAATTCCCAACAAATGATGTGTAACATTGTTGTACACGTCACTGTACACAACAACAATGTGTCACGATAAAACACACAAAAAATGAGGAAACATTTCAGTGTTTTCAGTCTCTCAGCTGATTTTTCAACTTCTTGACTTATAAATGTATTATAAGTCGAATTTTATTTTTGAATTTTTTGAATTTTTATGAATTTTTTCCAAATAAAAAAACCAAAAGACCTCTTTAAGAAAACACCAGGAGGTGAATAAGGGAGACTTGATAAACGTGTTTGGAAAAACCCTGGGCTTTCAGTCGGATAGACGACGGTTAGGATTCCTATTGCTCTGCTCGCACCTGGAGTATTCACACAAGGTGATAAGGCCAGACAGGCTCTGGACCCCTGCAGTCTGAAACACACCTATAAACACACAGACACAAAGTTTCACTTACTTGACGTGTCCCTG